GATGGCCACCGACCAACGATGCTGGCAGCAGCAAAAAATCAAATCACAAGCAGCAACAGCTTTAACCCACAGGACGGGCAACATGGACACCAGAGCCACACACCCAGGAACAGGTAGAGAAGAGGCACAGCCACCCCACACTCTTTCAGCTGGGCAGTTTTGTTAATAGTAAGTCCCCACGGACCAGTATTGAAAAGATTGCACTGCTGTTGCTACTCTGTTGCTACCCATCATTACTTCAGGTCAGTAGACAGAGCAGTTAACACAGTGGCATAAGAACTGCTCAGAAAGTGACCTGGGAAGAAAACGTCCAAACCGCATAACCGATAGTTGAACATCGCCTCCTCTGACCTAGCGATGAGTTCAAGCTATGCAAGCGGGAGCTACCACAATAGCAAAGCGTGAGCAAACAGAATAGTATTGGATTGAATATGATTGGATAAGCTAGATGATCTAGAAAACCGCGTCACTGTAAGGAACAACTTGCACAGTGTAGGCCTCCCTGAATCCTACAACTCTCAACTCAGGTGTATTATCAGATATCTGCTCAAACAACAACAGCATTCCTCGCGGCATTGGACATCACACACCAATTTGCCAGGTCAGAAAGGGCTCATCGCTTAGGCCGTGCCCACAAATGACAGACACACACACCCGCACCGTGCCCAACAATCGGCATATACTCTTAATTACGCGTACCGTGTAGCTAGACTCAATGTAGTTGTCGCAACTCTCAAGTCCCTGCTGCTAGATGGTCCATAAGCGCTGTTGGGATTCGCCGACTTCTCGCAAGAAGTCTCTCCCGCAAATAGAAAAGCATTCCAACAAATTTTGTGCTTCTCTAATGGCAAAAAGGAGTCAAATACACTCTAGCATACCCTGCTACACTTCGCTTCAATAAACGCCGCAGGGATCCTAAATCTTCACACAAAGTATAAGCCCAAAGAAGCCCCTTCAGTACTTCAAAACCAATCTTTCCGAGGTCATGGTGCCTCCACAGACCACATAATTCACCAAGAGAACCCTGGCCGCGAGAACAGCGTAGTCCACGAAAAGCACAACCAAAGTGCCAATTGCAACCAACCACACCGCGACTAAACAAAGATCATCCTGACCGATCGTTGCCCACAGCCCACTCCCTAATCACCCTCGTTATTGTAGTTTCAAAACCTGGTGTTACAGGGCGCATGCGCGGACCGGCTTGATGGAAACGCTCTGATCTGAGCAGCTCCCGTCCACCCGCCAAGCACTAACCCAGCACACCAACCCGGAGACCCGCCCAGGGAGAACAACAACCCCACAGTGTCATTCCTGAAGCGTGCCGCAACCGCTCCAGGCAAGCCATGCCGCGACGACAGAAAACCCCCTGAACAGCCGGTAAGGACTTTACTAATTTCCTTCCCGGCCGTCATGGAATCCAAGATGGTCTGCCGGGCGGCAGCGTCCAGGGAGGGCAGCTGGAGGCCTGAGGGGACTACAAATGACCAGCAAAAACGGATGCCAGGCTGCGACAACGCGCTTTATCCAGGGGACCCTGGTGAGTTGTCACCTCACCGACTGTCCCCCACAACTAGTAGCCCAGCCAAGTCTCGGCCACGACTACATAACCATGAACTTTTGATCCCTCACTTCAGGCCCGAAAAACTTCCGCCCTATGCTATCCCACACAGTGATTGCCCGACAGTTCGATTCGTGCCCAGTGTCCAGATATACCGCTCGACGGAAATCTCTATGAAGGGTATGCAGAACATCACTACGTCAGCCAAACATTATTTAATATTGAGTCTCCACATCGCTGAGTCAAATTACTGCGGCGGTACAGCGACAGGAAAGCTAGAATTCGCCATATTGAAAGTAACCTGGTGATCGTACTAATAAGCATAACAATGATTTGATTGATGCCTCACAGCTGACCATTCATCTACATCCGAAACAAATTAAAGCCGAAAATTTTTGGCTGCCCTGGAAGAGCGATCAAAGACCGCCACAAAACATTATATTTAAGAGGAATCCCCGAATCAGTCACTAATGAGCACACCTATTAACCCCCTAAAATAACTTTTTTTTAACCAAGCAAAAATTATATCCAATTCCTTATCACCATCAGTTCCTGACCTGGACTAGCAATTGATCGTGAAGCCACACGATTTGCCAAAACTACCGACTTGTTTGTCAGCATCTATTCCAAGAGATGTATTAGCCCGTATACAATTTCTACCATGATTAATAGAAAGAATCAGATGGCTGCCAGGGATCCGCCCCCAGGTTACCCGCCATCCTACTATGCTAATCTCCGTCTAATAACGACCGGATTTATCTAAAGCCACACTCCTTAAAGATGGAAAAAAAAATGATTTTTCCATAACTAAAGCTCTGAGAAACCAACGGTATAATCATACCAATGGGGTTTCCCCACAAAGCTCAACATTACGGCACCGTGGCAGAATTTTTAACGGTAAATAACCCTGGAAGCAGTCTGGACCTACTTAAAGCCTGGGAATATCCGTCCTGCGGATCCACAGGGAACTGCAATCTCTGCCCTCCGAATCAACATATGGAGGGCCATCCATAAACCATGGAAGTGGCCCACTCTCTGCGCCTTAAAACAAACGTACTCCTTCTCCCTAGAAGGCCTTTTTTTCAACATACCATTTTCTGGCGATCAGCCCCAAAAACTCGATGGTACCTGTTCATAAACAGTTTGCTAAATGGCATGACCCCTTCGATGGTCAAAGCCTGTTCCTCACCCACCAGTTGCCCTAGTAGACAATGGATACTGACTTGGTCGACTTGCGATGTATGAAAAAAATAAAGGTGTTTTTTTTACTGTTTCTTTGTATCCGTACCTTCCCCCAGTTGAGGGCACCATCAGACACAGCAGCTATAACCCTACAGATAATGAATCCCCCGCACATGTCCAGGAAAGCTCATCCTATCATCCTCCAATCGAGCCTAACTCAATCTTCAATAGACTCACAACCCGCACTCTCCCTCTCATAGAAATATCTGTTAACCGACGACTTCCTATCAAATATCGCTCCGACTAATTGTGAACTCATAGAGAAATACGTACCAAATGATTACTATTCACATCTCCTCAACGTACGAGGCGCCTAAACTCCGCCTTTCAAGAGATCGATGCTAGCCAAAGAAGCCCGGAAATCCCCATGCCGGACATACTCATACTCTTCATAAACAATATCCCCACTTCGCTACGGGGAAAACTCCCAAATTAATTTCTATCACCGCTTCACCCAAATATTTTTGGCAACCAACATCCAAAAGAAGAATGGAGTTCTTACTGCCATTAATACTCTGTCTCATGCCGCATCATTTCGCAAACAGCCGATCCACAAGGCGCTACCACATTACTTGTATCCAGCTTAATGACATAACCTACACCTTAGTGCACGTCTACGGCCCCAAACTGCAAGCAGATGCGCTTCTATCATAAATAGAGATGAGCGAAGTATTCAAAAATTCGATTTCGACTGATTCGGAGCGAATTCGTGAGAAAAATTTCGATTCGAGTCGAATATATTCGCTTGCGAATTTAACTATAAAAGGTGTTTCTAGGCTTCAGAGAGCCTTTATATTAGTGCAAAACACTGTAACCTTTAATTTAAATGCCCTTGGAGTCTGCTGGGAAGAGAAATAATACTGGGACAGTCAGTATGACATGCAGATGAGTGCCGTCGATCTTAAAATCACCGCACACTTCACTCATTTGGGGCAGTCACGGGGCCAAAACCATAGTGTGGAGTCCACATGTGGCGGTGGAGGCAGCAGCAATGGGAGCCATAACAGCACCCTATGACAAAAATGAAACCACCAGCAGTGTGAGGAGACCTGAAAGTGCACATGGCATGAGACACTGTGGACCTGGCAGCAGCATGAGGAGGCGGTACAGGCCCACATGGCAGATTAGGGGCCTGGCAGCAGCTATGGGAGGCCCGTAATCTGCCAGCACCCTTATGTCAAAAAATTGAACACACCAGCATGTGTGAGGAGACCTGAAAGTGGCACATGGCAGAGTGTGGCGATGGAGACAGCAGCAATGGGAGGCCGTACAGGGACCCATGAGAGACTCTGGACTTCCGCAGCAGCATGAGGAGGCGGTATAGGGGCCCATGGCAGATTAGGGGCCTGGCAGCAGCTATGGGAGGCCCTAATCTGCCAGCACCCTATGTCAAAAAAAATTGGAACACACCAGCAGTGTGTGAGGAGACCTGAAAGTGGCACATGGCAGAGTGTGGCGATGGAGACAGCAGCAATGGGAGGCCGTACAGGGACCCATGAGAGACTCTGGACCTGGCAGCAGCATGAGGAGGCGGTATAGGGGCCCATGGCAGATTAGGGCCTGGCAGCAGCTATGGGAGGCCCGTAATCTGCCAGCACCCTATGTCAAAAAATGAGAACACACCAGCAGTGTGTGAGGAGACCTGAAAGTGGCACATGGCAGAGTGTGGGCGATGGAGACAGCAGCAATGGGAGGCCGTACAGGGACCCATGAGAGACTCTGGACTTGGCAGCAGCATGAGGAGGCGGTATAGGGGCCCATGGCAGATTAGGGGCCTGGCAGCAGCTATGGGGCAGGCCCGTAATCTGCCAGCACCCTATGACAAAAAATGGAACACACCAGCAGTGTGAGGAGACCTGAAAGTGGCACATTGGCAGAGTGTGGCGATGGAGACAGCAGCAATGGGAGGCCGTACAGGGACCCATGAGACACTCTGGACCTGGCAGCAGCATGAGGAGGCGGTATAGGGGCCCATGGCAGATTTGGGGCCTGGCAGCAGCTATAGGAGGCCCGTAATCTGCCAGCACCCTATGGACAAAAAAATGGAACACACCAGCAAGTGAGGAACCTGAAAGTGGCACATGGGGCATGGAGACACTGTGGACCGATGGCAGCAGCAACTCCTGAGGAGGCGGACGGTACAGGGGCCCATGGCAGATTAGGGGCCTGGCAGCAGCTATGGGAGGCCCGTAATCTGCCAGCACCCTATGTCAAAAAATGGAACACACCAGCAGTGTGAGGAGACCTGAAAGTGGCACATGGCAGAGTGTGGCGATGGAGACAGCAGCAATGGGAGGCCGTACAGGGACCCATGAGAGACTCTGGACCTGGCAGCAGCAATGAGGAGGCGGTACAGGGGCCCATGGCAGATTAGGGGCCTGGCAGCAGCTATGGGAGGCCCGTAATCTGCCAGCACCCTATGACAAAAAATGGAACACACCAGCAGTGTGAGGAGACCTGAAAGTGGCACATGGCAGGGTGCATGGAGACAGCAGCATGCGGATTTAGTCAGGGTGTCAGGAACTGGGACCTTGAAAGCAAGCTAATCCACGGATTCATATTACAAACGTGAGTCTCTCCACATTTGGGTGCACAGTCTACTAGTCCTCCGTGGAGTTACAATACCTCCTGCCGCACTAAACACCGCTCCCGATCCACGCTACTGGCACGGGCATGACAGCCTTTCAAGGGCAAATGAGCAGCTAGTTGGGGCCAAAGGTCAAGTTTCGGAGCCCAGTAGTCAACTGGGATTGTCTACCTCTCTGATTGGCAGGTGCTGTCCAAGAAGGCCTTGCAGCTGTGGTGTGTTTGAGGTCCTGCTCCAGGTCCACCTGATGCTGCTGAGTGCTGGCGACCTAGTAGTTTCCTCACTGCGCTGGTGAAGAAAGCTACTGCATCATCGACTGCAGGACTGAGGCAGCCGCTGCTGTGAGCTGCCACATGCTCCTACCACCCCACCCCTCCCCTGCTGCCATGGCAGCTGAACGCGAGCGCACAGGGCCCACAGTGTCACGAGGATGGACGTTGGCGCAGAAAGGCAGAGACCAGCCTGACTACATAGTGGTTTTTTATAGTACGTTATTTTGGCCTCCCTCTCAGCAGGTGTGAAAAAGGCCCATGGCATTTTTGAACGGATAGCGGGGTCCAACATAGGTGGACAGCCAAAATAAGTCTCCCCTCTGTCTGATGTTATTAATTCGGCTGTCCGCTAATGCAAGCAACCGAGCATGCTATGGGCCATTTGTGCAGCCAAGGAATGCGAGGGACTCCCTGCCTCCCCATCTCCACAGCATACTGCCACGGTGCGTCTGGGTCCTCTGTCTCCTCCTCCTCCCTCTACCAGATGCACCTGCTCCTCCACTCCTGTCCGCTGAGTGGGAAAAACCACCCTATTTCACACTCAATAATTCCACAGCACCAATGTCCTCCTCTACCTCCTCCTCTTCTTCCTGTCCTGCCCCCACAGGGGTCATGTGCGTTGAGATCTGTGCGCCATGGGAGACCGCACCCTGACCAGCCATTGTTAACAGCATTTGTTCCAGGACGTGCAACAGAGGAATGACGTCGTTCATCCCATAGTCCTGCTGACTCACGAATAGCGTGGCCTCCTCAAAGGGGCCTGAGCAAGCGCAGGTGTCACCATGAGCTGGCCAATGGCTGACATCTAAGTTACACAGGGAGTAGCCTTTATCCCTTTTAACATCAGGAAATCTATGATGGCCTTATCGCTGTTCGTAAAAGGGGTCTAACATATGTAGGGTTGAATTCCACCTTGTTGCAACGTCACAGCATGAGGAGGATCGGTACGGGGGCCATGGCAGATTACGGGCCTGGCAGCAGCAATGGGAGGCCCGTAATCTGCCAGCACCCTATGACAAAAAATTGAACACACCCAGCAGTGTGAGGAGACCTGAAAGTGGCACATGGCAGAGTGTGGCGATGGAGACAGCAGCAATGGGAGGCCGTACAGGGACCCATGAGACACTCTGGACCTGGCAGCAGCATGAGGAGGCGGTATAGGGGCCCATGGCAGATTAGGGCCTGGCAGCAGCTATGGGAGGCCCGTAATCTGCCAGCACCCTATGACAAAAAATGGAACACACCAGCAGTGTGAGGAGACCTGAAAGTGGCACATGGCAGAGTGTGGTGATGGAGACAGCAGCAATGGGAGGCCGTACAGGGACCCATGAGAGACTCTGGACTTGGCAGCAGCATGAGGAGGCGGTATAGGGGCCCATGGCAGATTAGGGGCCTGGCAGCAGCTATGGGAGGCCCGTAATCTGCCAGCACCCTATGTCAAAAAATTGAACACACCAGCAGTGTGTGAGGAGACCTGAAAGTGGCACATGGCAGAGTGTGGCGATGGAGACAGCAGCAATGGGAGGCCGTACAGGGACCCATGAGAGACTCTGGACCTGGCAGCAGCATGAGGAGAGGCGGTATAGGGGCCCATGGCAGATTAGGGGCCTGGCAGCAGCTATGGGAGGCCCGTAATCTGCCAGCACCCTATGTCAAAAAATTGAACACACCAAAGTGGCACATGGCAGTGTGAGGAGACAGCTGAAAGTGGCACATGGACATGAGACACTGTGGACCTGGCAGCAGCATGAGGAGGCGGTACAGGGGCCCATGGCAGATTAGGGGCCTGGCAGCAGCTATGGGAGGCCCGTAATCTGCCACACCCTATGACAAAAAAAACACACCAGCAGTGTGAGGAGACCTGAAAGTGGCACATGGCAGAGTGTGGCGATGGAGACAGCAGCAAGGGAGGCCGTACAGGGCCCATGAGACACTCTGGACCTGGCAGCAGCATGAGGAGGCGGTATAGGGGCCCATGGCAGATTAGGGGCCTGGCAGCAGCTATGGGAGGCCCGTAATCTGCCAGCACCCTATGACAAAAAATGGAACACACCAGCATGTGTGAGGAGACCTGAAAGTGGCACATGGCAGAGTGTGGCGATGGAGACAGCAGCAATGGGAGGCCGTACAGGGACCCATGAGAGACTCTGGACCTGGCAGCAGCATGAGGAGGCGGTAATAGGGGCCCATGGCAGATTAGGGGCCTAGCAGCAGCTATGGGAGGCCCGTAATCTGCCAGCACCCTATGTCAAAAAATTGAACACACCCAGCCAGTGTGTGAGGAGACCTGAAAGTGGCACATGGCATGAGACACTGTGGACCTGGCAGCAGCATGAGGAGGCGGTATAGGGGCCCATGGCAGATTAGGGGCCTGGCAGCAGCTATGGGAGGACCCGTAATCTGCCAGCACCCTATGTCAAAAAATTGAACACACCAGCATGTGAGGAGACCTGAAAGTGGCACATGGCAGAGTGTGCATGGAGAACAGCAATGGGAGGCCGTACAGGGACCCATGAGCAGACTCTGGAGCATGAGGAGGCGGTACAGGGCCCATGGCAGATTAGGGGCCTGGCAGCAGCTATGGGAGGCCCGTAATCTGCCAGCACCCTATGACAAAAAATGGAACACACCAGCAGTGTGTGAGGAGACCTGAAAGTGGCACATGGCAGAGTGTGGCGATGGAGACAGCAGCAATGGGACCCGTACAGGGACCCATGAGAGACTCTGGACTGGCAGCAGCATGAGGAGGCGGTATAGGGGCCCATGGCAGATTAGGGGCCTGGCAGCAGCTATGGGAGGCCCGTAATCTGCCAGCACCCTATGTCAAAAAATGGAACACACCAGCAGTGTGAGGAGAGACCTGAAAGTGGCACATGGCAGAGTGGCATGAGACACTGTGGACCTGGACCTGGCAGCAGCATGAGGAGGGCGGTACAGGGGCCCATGGCAGATTAGGGGCCTGGCAGCAGCTATGGGAGGCCCGTAATCTGCCAGCACCCTATGACAAAAAATTGGAACACACCAGCAGTGTGAGGAGACCTGAAAGTGGCACATGGCAGAGTGTGGCGATGGAGACAGCAGCAATGGGAGGCCGTACAGACCCATGAGAGACTCTGGACAGCAGCATGAGGAGGCGGTACAGGGGCCCATGGCAGATTAGGGGCCTGGCAGCAGCTATGGGAGGCCCGTAATCTGCCAGCACCCTATGTCAAAAAATGAACACACCAGCAGTGTGTGAGAGAGACCTGAAAGTGGCACATGGCATGGAGACACAGCAATGAGACCGTACTGTGGACCTGGCAGCAGCATGAGGAGGCGGTACAGGGGCCCATGGCAGATTAGGGGCCTGGCAGCAGCTATGGGAGGCCCGTAATCTGCCAGCACCCATGACAAAAAATGGAACACACCAGCAGTGTGAGGAGACCTAAAGACACATGGCCCGAGGCATGAGACAGCACTGTGGACCTGGCAGCAGCATGAGGAGGGCGTATAGGGGCCCATGGCAGATTAGGGGCCTGGCAGCAGCAGGTATGGAGGCCCGTAATCTGCCAGCACCCTATGTCAAAAAAATTGAACACACAGCAGTGTGAGGAGACCTGAAAGTGGCACATGGCATGAGACACTGGGACCTGGCAGCAGCATGAGGAGGCGGTACAGGGGCCCATGGCAGATTAGGGGCCTGGCAGCAGCTATGGGAGGCCCGTAATCTGCCAGCACCCTATGACAAAAAATGGAACACACCAGCAGTGTGAGGAGACCTGAAAGTGGCACATGGACCCATGAGAGACTGTGGACCTGGCAGCAGCATGAGGAGGCGGTATAGGGGCCCATGGCAGCCATGGCAGATTAGGGGCCTGGCAGCAGCTATGGGAAGCCCGTAATCCTGCCAGCACCCTAATGTCAAAAAATGGAACACACCAGCAAGTGTGGGAGGGAGACCTGAAAGTGCAAATGGCACAGTGTGGCGATGAGAGCACTGGGAGGCCGTGGACTCCATGAGAGACAGCAGCATGAGGAGCGGTATAGGGGGCCCCATGGCAGATTAGGGGCCTGGCACGCAGCTATGGCAGGGCCCGTAATCTGCCAGCAACGCCTATGACAAAAAATAAAAGTGGAACACAACCAGACATGTGTGAGGAGACCTGAAAGTGGCACATGGCAGATGTGTGCGATGGGAGACAGCAAGCAATGGGCAGGCCGTACAGGGACCAGCATGAGAGACCTCTGGACCTGGCAGCAGCAGAGGAGCGGCGGGTACAGGGGCCCATGGCAAATTAGGGGCCTGGCAGCACCAGCTCTTGGGAGGCCCGTAATCTGCCAGCACCCTATGTCAAAAAATTGAACCACACCAGCAGTGCAGTGTTAGGAGACCTGAAAGTGGCACATGGCAGAGTGTGGCGATGGAGACACGCAGCACTGGGAGACCGGTACAGGGACCCCATGAGAGACTCTGGACTTCTGCAGCAGCATGAGGAGGCGGTATAGGGGCCCATGGCAGATTAGGGGCCTGCAGCAGCTATAGGAGGCCCCGTAATCTGCCAGCACCCTATGACAAAAAAATTAGAACACTACACCAGCAGTGTGAGGAGACCTGAAAGTGGCACATGGCATGAGACACTGTGGACCTGGCAGCAGCATGAGGCAGGCGGTACAGGGCCCATGGCAGATTAGGGGCCTGGCAGCAGCTATAGGAGGCCCGTAATCTGCCAGCACCCTATGAAAAAAAATGGAACACACCAGCAGTGTGTAGAGGAGACCGGGAAAGGGGCACAGGCAGAGTGTGGCGATGGGGGCCAGCACCCAATGGGGGGCCGTACAGGGCCCCTGAAGACTCTCGACTTGGCCGCAGCATGGGAGGTGGTATAGGGG